ATGTATAGACGGATGTGAACATATCCCCAGCACATTACATACTCCTTAAATCGTTGCCATTTTGTCTTTAAAACACCGAACGTATCGGTGATAATCTAATGAGTGAGCTGATAACAGAGCAGAGGCAACAATAACAGAGATGATGCAGAGCAGAGAAGAAGCACTTTGAGCCTCATAAAAACCGACGACAGCAGTAATCAATGCGGAAACCCTGAGAACTGTCTCATAAACATATCCTAACATTGGCATTTACCAGTTCAGACACAGTGAGCTGGAGATGCTCGGCTCCGCCATCGGAGGCATCATTTGTTGCCAAGGTGATTTGAGTTGTGTGGGATTGTTTCAGGTTTTTTACAGAGCCCCCTTGAGAACAAAATCAAGTTTAGCAGACAAAACTTTACCAGAGCTATATATTTCAGAATTGACTTGTTGCAGTGTGCAGTTGGATGTCGTTCAGGGATTTTATCGGCACTTTGTCACTTTAAGTTGTTTGAGTCTACAGTTTTACAGTCTTGTCAGTCGGCTGTAAAGAGAGCGTATAATGCCTGCTCCGATTGTATAAATAGTTGTTTTTCTTTCTGCTGGATTTCCTATACTTGGTAATGAGTGTATCTGTATGCATTGCTGGTGTGTTTCTATGATGAGAAAATGAGCATGTATCACACGGAGTCTGCAACAGCACCGACACAAAGCTTTGCAGCTAATCCACCTTTATGCTTTTACGCTGAAGCAAACAGAGCTGTCATATTAGTGACACAACCAGGTAAGGTACAGAAGGTCATGTTTTGTTTCTGTCCATTTATTTTAGTGTTATTCTCATTTCCTGTTTTATTTTGTATTCATCCTTGCCTCTGTCTTTCAGATCCTGCTCCTCATGTTTTCCTGCCTTGTGACTCCCTCGCCCTGATTGTACTCACTTGTGTCTTGTTACCCTCTGAGTGTCTGTGTATTTAATCCCTGGCTGTGTCTGAAATCACTCCCTATTCGTTTTTTCCTGAAATCTATGATCAGTTTTAATACAGAGTCAAAGATCATCAACGTTAGTGACGGTAGTTTGTCCTCATGATGATGACAGACGAGAGACCAAAGTCTGTGAGCATGAGTAAACATGTTTCATTATATCTCAAATTCAAGTCTTTATTAATTGTAAATGTTTTGTGAAAATACACTCAGTATAACAGAAGTTATCACTTAAAGTCATGCTGTTATTTACTGTTGATCCTCGGCCATTGTTAAGCTGCATGTTTTAGTTGAGCGACAACAATGCCGTCACTGTCGGGGGCCGGCAAGTGAGCGAATAGTGTCCTAAATGTAACTCGCTCTATAGTGAGTAGGGAGGAGGGAATGAGTGAGTGATTTCGAACACAGCCCCTGTGTTTCCTCCCTCATGCTGCCAGTTCACAGTGTGTTCCTTGTGTCGCCTAGTTCCAGAATTTTTCTTCCAGTGAGCCTTTAAGTGTTTTTTTTACCTTGCCTGCCTTCTTGTTTTTGTCTTTTGCCTGCCGTTTTTGGATTCTTTGCACCTCTTTATGCTGATCTGTGTACTGACCTGGACTGGTTATTAAACACTGCTTTTACTGAACCTGCACATTTTTGCTGCCCTATTTCCAAAACAGAATATTGTGCCATCAAAAGTAGTTTCCATTAAACTCTTGAAACTGTAAATATATAATTTATATGTATTGAAATTGTTTCTGTTTGTATGTTGAAACCTACATCGTGGCTCGAGCCTGATTCTCAGATTAGACTTAACTCACTCTCTAAATGAAACACTCTCTAGTATCGACTTGGACTTGCATTTTGTGACTCATGAACATCTGTGGCTCCAGCAAATTTGTATTTCTTTTAAAGGTAGAAAGCCTCACAAGCAGAGCAAAGCTGCGTTACCGCCCAGGCAGGCAGAAGCGTGAAGCGGTGAGACCACAGGCTGCCAGACATCATTATCTCTCTCAGCAGTCCCACGCAAGCTCTCGAACTCTGTAAGACTTATAGATTCTCGGGCGAAAGACACTCGCAAAAAAACAACAACAAAAATAACAACAGCGCCAGTGTTTTGCAAAAGACACTGAACACCCTTCTCTGGAGCCATATGTGTCTGTGGAGACTTACAGGATGCAATCCTGCCAGGACAACGGCAGGATTTTCCTTCTCTAACACTGCTTCACTTTCACCATTCAGACTCGTTCAGTTAAGAACACAGACTTGCCGAAGGTGGTCTGCCCACAACTTCTTCAGCGAGGGAATAATGAAAAAGAAAAGCTACCTTATGAAGGGAAAAGTACAGAAACTTGCAGAGGCGTAGACACTAAGGCCCGGTCTCTTGCTGCATGAACAATTCTACTATTGGAGATTTTTTTTCTCCCTTTCCTCTGTATCCACATCTCCATCCATCTTAATGGAACAAAGTCTATTTAAACTTATAAAGGAGCTTTACACACAGTAGCTTTGTTAAGCATCTGAACCTGGAGGGCTCCTCTCCAGTTTCACAGGGGAAAAAAAAGAAATGAAGGGAAGCTTTCACTTTTCACATTCAGAGCTCTGTAAAGAAGCCAGCAGGATCCACATAGCTGGCAGGATTAGGCTTAACAAATCACCTTTCTTTACTTTAATGCAAACAGACAAAAGAAGCAGATACACCGATCCAGCCTGTTCAGCATCCAGGTGAAGACGGAGAGAAGACGGCACATTTGATGAGACACAATTGATAAAGAGACACAAATAGAAGTGCTTTCAATCAGCACAAGGTTGCTATCAAAGTGAGAGATTGTCAACTCGAGCATCTCCATCCATCACGCTCCAAGCTTATCAGCAGCACAGACATTGTTATTTTCTTTGGAATTGGATTTAATTCTAAAGAAACACTGGCACCACAATCTGAAGACATGTACCAACACGAGGATTGTACACACTTTGTTAGCATGAGGAAACACAACATGAGATCTATTCATGATGGAACCTAAAGGGGACATTTTATGAAAAATCCACTTGTACAGTGTTTTTGAACATATATTTGGGTAACCTGAGTGTCTACTGACCCACAAAATGTGAAATAAACCCATCCAGTCCTTTGTTTGTGGTCTGCATAAGTCTTACAACACAGAGAGAAATGCTCTGTTTCAAATGTGTTCTCCTTGTGATGTCACAGTGGGATTCTGGTAAAAATAAATACCCTTCTGATTTGTGCAGGTCAGCCATTTTTATTCTCGCTACATGGGGGGGGGGGGCTCATTGCATTTAAAGAGACACACACACCAAAACGGAGCGTTCTGAGAGAGCTGGTTTATACAGGGTCACAAACCTTCTCTGGTGCTTGATTCATGTTATATTTTGACCAAAGCAGATGTTTAATTTAGACCACAGGGGACTGTTTGAAAAGCTGGAAAAGGGATATAATATAACCTCTTTAAAGCCGGTCGTTAGCTCTACACTTTGAAGCCGATTTAGACCTGATTTTTAATTTTCAATGATTGTGTAGGGTCAACCTACGAGCCAATTCCCCAACTTCAACTTTTTTTTCAAATGCGTGCACAGATCAAAAGACAATGTCTGAAATCACCATGGCAACGCAGGCATGCCTATTAAATCTATCTTCCCCCTCATATCGTGAAAGAGAAGTTGACAGGAAATATCTGCGGACCTCCAGCTGACAGGGAATATTTTTGATGATTTAGCTGCTAGTAACCTTTTGTGTCTATGTGTGTGTGTGTGTGTGTGTGTGTGTATATGCGTGTGTATGCACGTGTGTGTTTGTGTGTCACAGACAGAGCGAGCGTTTTTCCCAGTGTGTGTATTTAAACCATATGAGACAACTGAAATACACAGATCTCACTTCGACCTCCATCTGTGGGAGTTTTCTATTGACATTTGAAAAAGCTCCTTCCTGTGTGAGCACATAAGTGGTGATGGCTTGGCTGCGCGTTGTAAACAATTCAGTGGCACAGTGTGAGCTGACATTCCACTTTTCTACAATCGTAATGTACACACCGGGTTTAAAAAAATCTCTCCAGGGTTAAAGGAGCAATCTGTGAGATATCTACTGAATTAAATGATAAAGTGACCTTAATATATGATCAGACATTAAGGAAACATGTTATGTTGAAGTGCTGGCTTCTCTGACAACAATGCAGCAGCCAGTATGTCCTCCTTCTAACTTTAGATTCTGCTCCTGAATGCTCTGGATTTGTTTGGACCAGAGAAGGTAGGCGGTTTTAAGGCACCCCCACACGGCCGTTTTGGACGCCCCTCTGTTTTCCAGATATGAGAGCAGTTATCAGGTCAAACCAACAGGTGTTGCAGCGATGGAAGCGGGCAAGAGAAGTGGTTCAGATAGAAGTGATTGTACCCGACCTAAAAAGCCTCTGCATGTTTCTAATAAGCTCCATGAGCAGAAACGTGCTCAAACTAGGATCAATATTGGAGATGCTTTTGAAAAATGGAGAGAGGTTAGAACGCAGAAAGGTTTACAGACCGATGCAGAGCTGGATAAACACTGAAGCTCAACTGTCAACAACTTTCAACAGGCACAGCAGCGTCTCAGGTCGACCCTGTCGCCTGCTTATTGCACTGTGTACGTTAGGCAGCGGGTCGCGGGTCACTCACAAGAAGTGTGTACGTCTTTAGAGCACTAGACAGTTAGCCCATCTCTGTACGGTTTGATAGAATGGCTGAGGCTTTTTCAACAATCTGCCATTTAGGTGCTATATGTTATTTTTTCCCCTTAGAGACAACATGACCGCTTTGGCTCTTAATTTCCTGATTCCTTATATCCGGCCATAGTGGTAGGATGTTTATTTTTGTTGTGCCGTGTCAGGGAAACTTTGTGTATGCTCTTTGGTATCTTTTGAACACCTAAGTAGAGCATGCTCAGAGCTGAGGCTGTAAGAGAGATTTGACTTCCTCTTCTTCTATTATCTAAAAAAGGAAGGAATCGTTCATGCTTTTGGAAAAGACTTAAACAGGCTGACTTAAACAGTAATGAGCAGTGATTGGACGGTTCTTACCTGAGGGGTTGAGCAGCCGCCAGGTGATTGCAGGATCCGGCCTGCCACTCGCCAAACAACTGAGCGTCACGTTACTGCCTTCGTTCACGATGATGTCTTCTGACACCTTGTAGATGTTGGCTGGAACTGCAGACACAAGAGACATAATATCAGATAAGATTTTTAATGTCACAGAGTAATTCGTCTTTCTTTAAACACACACTTTCCAGAAAGACCTTTCCGGTAGAAATTCCAGCTATTCAACCATGCCAGCTACTGTACTCCCACTACATAGTTTACCATCCCTTCATAGAAACTGTTGGCTATAACCAAAGGTTAAATGCAAACACAAGCTGACCTTGATTTTCTCAGTGCAAGGAAAAGGAAAAGAAAAGCTTTGCAGAACCTTTTTTTCCCCTCCTGCTTAGCCCTCAGAGGCACTTACAGTAAACTTTCTCAACCCAGGATCCAAATAAGCAATTTAATCTCCCGCCCCGGGACCTGAGCTCATGAAAACAGATTGCTTCTCTTGTCATACGGGGACACACTAGACGCTTGGCGCTGATTCCGAGGTTAGAGACGTACTCGCAGGAAAGCCAGCTCTGATATACAACCCCAAATTTAAGGGTGAAATAAAGAATCTTTTTATGTGCATGTATGTGACACTGATGTTCAAAGTAACACGGAGCTACTTCAACTCGACGCAGTGCTTAATGATCATTCTGCTCCGCTATCACCATCTTCTCCTCACTCCTTCTGCTCTCACTCCCACACAAACAGAGAGAAAGCTAGAGAGAGGGAGAGAGTGGGAAACCTTTACTCGGGCAGAAAACAACTCAGATGAATTAAAGAGATACCGTTGGCTTTGAAGCAAGTCAGCAGCAAAGATGCAATCAATCATGAAGATGGGGAGGGCATACATCTCTGTTTTCACAAACTGCGGGTGAAGTCGTTGGGATAAAGTATTGTATAGAAAGATACGAGGGTAGAAATTCAAATAATGATCGATGACTTTGGAATATGATGAAAGTTGAGACGTGCACAAAGCAGGCAAACAAAGATGAGTAACTTATTTCTCCGTAGTTTATTCTAATTTCAGGGTATGCATGTGTGTGTGTGTGAGGGGTCTGCATCGCTTTGAGCTGAACACACTTTAAGCCATTTAGTCTAGCGTATAAACTTCTGCTTTTTAAAAGGATATTAAAATAAAGACTTATACAAAAGTAATGTCACTTAATCATTTCTTATGGGCCTCCATATATGTGTGATGGTGACTGTCATTTGATGTTTTGGTTTGTCTGGTTTGACATGGGACGTTTCTGGTTAAGGAGCTGGTGTGTTTCCTCCAGCCAATGACAGCGCAGCAAGTGATTTTGGGAGAGGATACAATTCCGCGATTAGATGCAATTCAAACTGGGCGAGTATGACGATCGCGGACGTAGCGGCAAAGAAGAGAAAACATAATCATAGTGAGGCAAAAAGCCAAGGGGAAAAAGCTTGTTCTGAAACGAGGGTGAACCTTGTGTTAGCTTCACACCGGGAGGCAGAGTTGGTCTGCTTTCTGTTGGACAGTCAGGTGACAAACACGGGCAGTTAGCTTGTGCTAGCGCGCGGTAGCTTGCGGCGGTAAACGTTCACACTACGTCCTGCAGTGAGTGTGCGCTTCTGGGGTCAGGAGGAGGGGCCCAGTTTGAAAGCTATTTAAGCTGTAATGAATACTGCTAGTGACTCTACCTTGAATATAATTTGTCACTCAGGTGAAATGTGAATTAAGGACGTCTATTTGCTCAATGGTCCATTCTGAAATACAAACGATGCATCAGACTGTGTGTGTGTGTGTGTGTGTGTGTGTGTGTGTGTGTGTGTGTGTGTGTCATTGACCTGCAGATACACAGTGGTGTAATCAAATGTAATTGCCATGATTAAAATAACAGACTGCACTCGCTACACTCATCACTCATCCATATTTATCTAACCTTTTAAATGTCAGCAGCAGGTTTAGGATGCTAATCTAGAAAAAACACAAGAGTTACCTGCAGCAGCACAATGAGAATCAGAAAGCTTGCGACACTTCTAGAGGTCAACAACTGTTGGGCACTTGAACCCCAAACTGCTCCGCTCAAGTTACTCTGTGGCCCTACAAAGGAATGTGTCGTTGTAGCACACTGGGGTGTTATCTTTGCATAGCGGGTTCTGTGGCCTCCACGTGTTTCAAACCTTTACATGGCCGCTTTAAAACATTCATCTTGATATGCTACACAGCACTAATCTGTATGTGCTTATCTGGCCATAACAAAAACACATATGGAAAATCAATGCGGAAACCATTTAAGAGTTCCAAGTTGTAAACACATTTTGCGAGAGTGGATCACGAGGGAATTCATCTGCGATCTCAATCTGATAGAAGTCGCCGTGTTGAAATTGAAATAAAGCTGCTCCCCGCTCCTTCTTATCGACCGTGTTTTCTAAGAAACAATATTCCACTGTTTGTCTCTTTCAGATTGTTTCTCCGGCTAGGTTGTTATTGAAGCTTTGTCTGTGTGCAGCATCACTAACGGTACCGACACTAACATCTTTCTGTCACACAAACACTCACACAACATCCCAGAGTAAACCCATCTCTCTAATACCGACTGACAGGACTGTCACCACGGTGTCACACAGCATTTTAAATGAAGTCATACAGAGCTATTTGCTGTAGTCAAATGACCAAACCAAATAAAGATGTGTTTTGCAGATATGAGGAGATGGAATAGCCGGGTGCAGGCAGCACTCGATTGAGGTGACAAAGAATCCAATTGGCTTTTTTTTCCCCATCCTCGAAAAACAACTAAAGCTGGGTTGGAAAGTTGATTGGCTGAATAGGATGTGTGACCGCAGAATTAATCCCGGGGAGCACAGATAAAAATGGATCTGGCATGAAACAATTGCTCACACTCTGATAACCCTGTCACCTTTATGAATAGGCGGGAAGAGGAAAGACGAGTAGAAGGGAAGGGTGTAGGGAAGAAAAGGAGTGTGAATGACATTTCAGCACAAAGTATGGCGCCTGGCGTCCAGCTGCCAGTGCTGAAGGGGGGGGGGGTTGAGAAGAAAAGAATGAATGGTAATCTTAGTCATAGGTCAACCTTCGAGGAACAATGTTGGAAAGGGCAGCTCTTTGAAAAGCACTTTACCTCTGCTGCTGCAGGACGGATGCAGTCCTTAGAGATACAATGCACTATACGCTCATGTTTTCCCTACGGCTGCGTGAGTGTGTGAATTATGGTATCAACTGCGGCACGGGCTTAAAAAAACATCCACATTCAACGTCAGGTTGTGTGCAAAAGAAATGCGCATGCTCCATTTCACAAATACACTCGGGCTTCCTTTGGGGAATATCTATTTTTCTGCTTTATTCTGATTTGATTTTATTGTTTTCACAGCACAGCTACAGGAGCATGTTCTCTCTTCAAGTTTGGCAGGTTGCACCACCCAAAGAGAGAAAAAAAAACATCAGGTCCTCTCCGACTAATGATCTCGGACTTGGTTTGATTTTCTTTCAAATCCTCATGAAAATAATAAATCTCTGAAAATGTTATAAATACACTGACCTTGCTTTCAACTGTAATTTCAAACATCAAAGAAATGAAGGGAAGAGGGATGGGGAGACAGAGAGAGTGAGAGAGAGGGAGGAAGAGTAATTAGGAAGGAGAGTTTGTGTTTGTGCGCCCGCGTGGAGGAAGGAGAAAATTCAGAGGGAACGAGCGCCACAGGCAGCTCTGTGCATCCATGTGACAAGTTATCCACCTCATTTATTCATCATTGGAGGCAATAAAGCGCTGATCTTGTTAAGTTTGCACGATTATATTCTCCTTTCATATCTGGTTAATTTAACATGCCATCAAGACCATTTTCTGATGACATCTCTGAGAATGATTCTTTAAGGTTACATTTCAATGAACAGCCAATAAAAACACAGACAGGGTGACCTGCTACAGTCCTTATTTTAAATGTGTTGTAAAGCTCTGCAGCATTTTTTTTTTTATTCCGTGATCTTTACTGTTCCATTCATTCAGGTGACTTCATTTGATAGGACAGTTGAGTAAAGCCTCAATTCCACCAGATTTTTCAGTCCGTCTCGAGCTGATCTTTTTTTGCCGGATGCCAGAGCACTGCGCATCAATTCAGCACAGAAAAGCTCGAGGGTGAAGGGAAGTCAGACACGGAAACAACATTAAAACATCCGGTTTATTCTCAGAAAGAACAGTGACATTATTTGTGTTTGTTTTTGTGTTTTAATCGGTTTTATACTGATAATACTTTTGTATTATCTTGTGCCGTCCCGAGTGAATCTGTAAAGGTATCGCTGGAATTCCTTTGACACGGCACTCCAGCTGTCCAGCTGTGCTGCTGCAGCCTGTGGGTGATAACGGACGAGGGTGCACGGAGCCGTAATGGAGCAGTGCGGAAACACAATGCACATGTATCTGGTGGAAGTTCTGGGTAAGAAGTCAGGGACAGTTGCGTATCACATGTGGGTAAGAAGCCACATGTCGGGCTTGAATCCCGGCGCCTGCTTGGAGTTCTAAAGCCTCCATACATAGATAGTGACGTAGCCACTAGGCCATCAGCGCCCCGGACAAATATACAGAAATACAGAGAACTATAGTCAAGGGAGAAAGAAGACCAACACTTGCAAAATAACAGCAAACAAGCCTAATTACAGAATGATTCAGTATGTTTTCAGAGAAAGAATGACCCAACTTGTTGAAACACTACTCAGAAAGAAGAGAGCTCCACCATGTCCTCTCTCTCTCTCTCTCTCTCTTTCTGCATTTCTCCCCCTCTGCTCTCCATCTCTTACCCCCACAGGTGCTCCTTTTCTCTGATGTTTCAAAAATATGCCAAAGTCTTCGCTCCGTGATGCAGACGTACCGAGCATGAAATTAACCTTTGAACTGAAGCAGGGAAGGTATCATAGAGGATGCAGCCTGGCGCACCTGCACTCTGTCAGATTGCTTTATATTCTCGCTAAAGTGCTCATTATGATTCAAGGATTACTGCACCAAACCCCATTCCACCCTTTTGAACACAAACAGGAAACAATAAACAACAAGACGGCTTTGGGATTTGACTGTGAAATTCATTCTCATGCCTCGCACCAC